GAGGGCTTAGGGTTTAGGGTTTAGGACAAGGGTTTGGGATTTAGGGTGAGTTCTCTAAATTTATGACCCATGTTTGGGTACCCCAAATATTCGGGGCCGCTGCAGACTGGTAACCCCAAAAGGGGCCGTTGCATCCTTGAGACCCTATATTCTGCAAAAGCAGCCTGGAGAAAGCTGAGAAAGGGACGAAGATTGCCACAGCCATCACGAAGATGCAGGTCTTGGCGGGCGGACGCTTTGAACCGCCCCGATTTGTCTAGCAAGACCGAATGGCAAAGAACCTGAGATCCCAAACGCCTCAATCCCCACGTTTAGGGTTTAGGTTGTAGGGTTTAGGGTTTAGGGCAAGCTTGCAATGTCTAAGGCTGAAAGCGAGCTGCTCCAGTGAGCTTGCCCGGGTTAAGGCCCACGCCCAAAGCGCGCACATCGTGGACTGGCTGCTGAGCTCTTCCAGCGTTTTCTGCGCGCAGGATGGTTTGGGAGGGTCTGAGGTTATTAGAGTTGGAGGCAAGTAGGGGCGCCTTATTGGGGTCCTTAATATCAGGGAATCTTACTATTAGGGGGTCTACATTGGGGGTCCCTTATTCTTGTAAACTCCCAAACAGAACCTGTAGGGTTCCGAGGGAAGGCTCGGCAGGAAGATGTGCTCAGCGTTTCGGGGGCACGGCTCTTGTGCAACCAAAGGATGCTCCCATGCACTGAAGACAGAAAGAAGGTTCAGGGCTCAGGGTTGAGGATTCAGGTGTTAACACACTCCCACACAAACCCTACACCCTACACCCTAAACCCTCAACCCGAAACCCTAAACCAAGGCTCGCGCAGAAATTCGGTTCAGGGCACATCAGGGTTTAGGACGAAGGTTTTGAAACACTCCCAACCTGAACTAGCACCGAAAAGCTTCCAATTACCAGGCCCCGAAACCCTATAACCCCTAAACCCTAAACCCTTATATATACTCCTGAACCCTACATTCTTATATAACCCCTAAACCCTAAATTCTTATATAACTCCTAAACCCTATGCCCCAAAAGACCATAAACCCTAAACCCTAATCCCTAAACCCTAAACCCTTGTAGGCACCTGCTGCTGACGTATTCGACCTCGCGAGTTGTCGGTCTGGTCCTGCAAAGGCTTGGTTTAGGGTTTAGGGTTTAGGGCTTAGGGCTTAGGACTTAGGGCTTAGGGTTTAGGGTTTAGGGTTTAGGGTTTGCGATTGTGGGCACACGGGACAAACCCAGCCGAAACTGCCTGAGATTCAGGGCACTCCAATCCGAATGACGCATGGAGGGCTGCGTTGCGCTGTTGTCCCCTTTTGGGTACCTTTCACCAGAGGCTGCGGGCTTGGGGTTTAGGGAACAAACCCTTGTATCTCAACATCGTACTTCCTGACCCACCTAAGCCCGAAAGGCAGAGAATCGAGACATCTGTGTGTCATGAAGTCGCGTCCTCCATCTCCCCGAGCAGTCGGCAGTGCATGTCCAGTTCCTGACAAAAAATCCAAAAAATTAGTGTTTAGGGTTTAGGGTTCAGGTTTAGGGTTTAGGGTTTAGGGTTTAGGGTTTAGGGTTTAGGGTTTAGGGTTTCGGGTTTCGGGTTTAGGGTTTAGGGGCACACACTCCACTCCCACTTGTAATGGTGGATATCCAGCTTTTCCTCAGGCCTACGAAACTTCTGGCGATTGCTGTTATGCTTCCGATTCCTGGTAGCAACCAGATTAGTGCACTTAAGCTGATAATCAGGGGATCCTACTATTTGGGGGGTCTATGTTAGGAGTCCCCTATTTTCGTAAACCCCCATACTGCAATAAGGGCACACCCTTTTTTTCGTTGGTTACTTACTTTACAAGGGAACCCCCTAAACCCTAAACCCTAAACCCTAAACCCTAAACCCTAAACCCTAAACCCTAAACCCTAAACCCTAAACCCTAAACCCTAAACCCTAAACCCTAACACTAAACCCTAAACCCGAAACCCTAAGCCCTAAAGCAAACACAAGGAAAAGGGTACCGCTGGGCTACCAAGGATTAGCAAGCACTACTGTCAGACATGGTCTGATGCCTATGCTTGCAATAACAGGTTTAGGGTTTAGGGTTTAGGGTTTAGGGTTTAGGGTTTGATCATATCTCTTTTTGGGTGGGACGGGGAAGGGGAGGGGGCGAAGAGGGCACGGGCTTAGGTGCCTTGCGGAGGGGCTTCTGGAGATCAGGGTCTGCGGTTTCAGGCTTAGGTTCTTGAGAGGGTTTAGGGTTTAGGGTTTAGGGTTTAGGGTTTAGGGTTTAGGGTTTAGGGTTTAGGGTTTAGGGGTTGGGGTTTGGTACACCCGAACTAAACCTCATCGGCCCTTAAAGCATGAAGGCGTTTGTGGTCCCGGATGAGGGGCGCACCTCTGAAATGGCGCCGCCGAACTTCTTGAGATTCCTGGCCAACTTGGCTGAGGCTTTAGGGTTTAGGACCCTAGGAAAACAGAACACTTGTTTGTCTAAGAAGGGAACACAAAGGGACACCACTGGGGGTTCTATGGTTGAGGGCTTGGGACCTGGCATTGTGTGCTTCGGTTTGTTCTCGGAAGAAGTCTCCCGCGGCACAAGTGCTGCGATTTCACACTCTCCTGGCAACTTTAATCGACAACAGGCTGCTTACATTACATCGGGCTGCGAACTCTTGCCAAAAAAGCACATTCCTCCAACCTGACACTACCACACTTTAGACGAGCCGTTTAAATCCTGTAGCCTCATGTCATGGGGGTTTAGGGTTTCGGGTTCACAGGTCGAGTCCACTGCGTTGTCGGCCGGATCCCACAGACGAGCAGAAAGCACAAACTTCCTTTTTTTTTGGAGGAGGGGGGGGGGGGGAGGGGGGGGGGGAGGGGGGGGGGGGAGGGGGGGGGGGAGGGGGGGGGGGGAGGGGGGGGGGGGGGGGGGAGGGGGAGGGGGAGGGGGGGGGGGGGGGCGGGGGGGGAGGGGGAGGGGGGGGGGGGGGGGGGAGGGAGGGGGGGGGGGGGGGGGAGGGGGGGGGGGGGGGAGGCCGACCACTTCGGCTGCAGCAAGTCTTGCACTCGACTTAAAAAACCCTAAACCGTAAATCCTGAACCCTAAATCCTACACCCTAAACCCTAAACCCTCAGCCATGCCCCGAAATAGACCACTGCTGTCCAAGGGGCTGCACCGTTCCCGACAAGAAGTCCAGAGACCTTGCGGGGGCTTGCAAGTTTTGCAGCTCGGGGTGTTTGGATTCTGGCTTTAGGGTTTAGGGTTTAGGAGTTTAGGGTTTTAGGGTTTAGGGTTTACAGTAAAACCGTAAATACAATACTGGAGCGACCGGATTGGCTTCTTTCGGCGACATGGCCCCCCATCTCGAGGGTGTTAAAGTATGATATTCCCCAAAGCGGGAATAAAGCGGGCTTGACCATGTTCTAAAGGGGCTTGAGGTGGGTTTGGGGTGGGTTTGGGTTCATATGGCTTCTTCTCTTTGCGGGTTTTGGTTTGGGGTTTAGGGTTTAGGGTGGTTACATACTGCTTTTGCGGGTGTGGCTTTCGGGTTTCGGGGTTTCGGGGAGGGGGCCTTTCGCCCAGTTGCATAGAGCTGTTTCAAAGCCAACGTCCCCTGCCAGGCACCTTAACACTAATAACCATACTAACAATAAGGCCATTTTTTGTAAAGAAGAGGAAGCCGCCGAACAAAAAAAAAAAACAAGCCCAATTTAGAACCTCTGAAAGTTTGAGGCGTTGGGGCAGAAACCCTTATGACTCCTAAGCGACCTAAAACCTTATGTCCACAACCCCCCCCCCCCCCCCCCCCCCAAACACTAGAATCCCTGAACTGTTAAGGCTATTCTCCCGAAACCTACAAAGCCTGGAAACCCCCAAAACCGATAAACCCTTGGTAAGCCCGAAACTCCCAACTGGGTGCCGCACTCATCCTGATGCTCGGTCTCCTGGGCGTCGAAAGGGTTTAGGGTTTAGGGTTTAGGGTTTAGGGTTTAGGGTTTAGAGTTTAGGGTTTAACCCTATTCTGGTAGGCCTTCATGGCTCTTTTTGCTTGTAAACCTATCTCTGCCCTGCCTGAGGGTTTTGGGTTTAGGGTTCAATGAATCTAGGCTCACGTTCTGTCCGGCCGAGCCACCGGGAAACGACTTCAAGTCTCAGTGTACTAGAGCTTAGGGTTAGGGTTTAGGGTTTAGGGTTTAGGATTTAGGGTTTCGGGCTTTGCGTTTAGGATTTACCTCAGCAGTTTGGTGTTGAGAGTTCACGTCGTCCAAGCGTAAGCATCGTGGGGGGTTTTGTACTTCGGTACCCCCTCACCCCCCGCCCCGCACCGAAGTAACAACCCCAGCTAGAGACAAGGCCTGAACTTCTCTGGGAACTCGGGGGACAGGGTTTAGGGCTTAGGGTTTAGGGTTCAGGGGTTAGGGTCAGTCCAAGATCCCATGAGAGAATTGTGGTGGTAGCCGCACGCCCAAAGCCCTGAACTTTAAAGAAACCACGTAAACCCTGAAACTTTGCCTGAAACCCTAAACCGACATTTGTCGGCTTTGGTCTGTGGGCGGCCTTCAACCCAATCCCAGCTGCATCGGAACAGCAAGCTACAAAAAACAACGCTGCAAGGGTTAGGTAGCACTCATATTGGTTTCCGAAAAACTGAGGGACCCTTTCAAGGGTTAGTAAGATGTTGGGCATTTTTGTTGGAGGCCTCCACTAGGGAAGTAGCCATAGCCGTAGCCCTACAAAAGATACAAAAAGCCTTCCGGCGGCTTGTTGCGGATTGCAAGTTTGAGGGCTTTTCAGAGAGCGAGGTCTTCTCTCTCGACGGGCTTGCTCCCCTAAGGGTCCATGTAACTACTTGGGCCTTAAAGTACCTCTATACTTGGAGGTTCATGGCACTTATTAACCAATTAACACTGTACTTATAGCCCACTTATAAGCCCCTTAAGTGCCCCAATATGGTTGCAAGTACAGTGATAAGTGCAATTAGACATGGCTATTACGTACCATGAACCTCCAGGTATGGGAGGTACTCTAAGGCCCCAAGTAGTCCCCTTTTAGGTACACGGAACCCTAAAGCCTAAAGTCTACACCCTAAACCCTAGGCCCTAAACCCTAAACCCTAAACCCATCCTAAACCCTAAACCCTAAATCCTAAACCCTAGGCTCGATAGGGCTCCCGGCCATTTGTGCGGTCATGGCTTCACGGAGGTACCAGCTCGCCAGGGCTGGGGACTTGATGGGCTAGGGTTTAGGGTTTAGGGTTTAGGGTTTAGGGTTTAGGGTTTAGGGTTTAGGGTTTAGGGTCTAGGGTCTAGGGTCTAGGGTCTAGGGTTTAGGGGTAGGATGTTCGGGGTTTTCAGGGCTCAGGTACAGGGGGGTTCGAGAAAGTTATGTGAAGGGAGGCCGGTGGGTAGATAAGAATTGACAGTACAGGATCCTCCTTCTTAGAGGGCAGCCAGTTCAGAGGAGCCTCCCCCAGATCAGGAGCAACCTAGGAATAAAAAAGGGTGCCTACCCTTTTCGGTTTTGAGGGGATTATAAGGGAACCCCAACCCTAAAAAAAGGAAATAAGGGCCTATGCTGGGTCCTAGTCCCTCGTGTGGAAATTCATGGCTGCCTGGTGTACACAGGCTGAGCCAAAAATGAAAGCGACGCGCCAGGCACAAATCCAAGTATGTGTACCACTGCCCTGCTTGTCAAAGCCTCAAGCCGGAGTTTAGGGTTCGGGGTTTAATTTAAGGTTTAGGGTTTCGCGTTTTGGGTTTAGGGTTTAGGGTTGAAGTTTTAGGTCTAAAGTTCAGGCCGGTTTAGGGTTTAGGGCTCAAGCTTTAGGGTTTTGGGTCTAAAACCCTAAACCCTAAACCCTAAACCCTAAACCCTAAACCCTAACCCCTAAACCCTGAACACTAAGCTTTACGGTTCAGGGCTTAAGCTGTAGGATTTCGGGCTCATGGCACCCGAACATCGGCCCTCTTGCTGGCTATGGACTACGAATCCGGATTCCCCAGAAAAAAAACCCTAAACCCTAAACCCTAAACCCTAAACCCGAGGCTTTTGGTTGCTAAGGTCATGCAGGATTTGGTAACCGACAGAACCAGCCTTGGAGCAAAGGTGCAGCAGACTCAGGGCCTGCTGTATGAGCCCCTAAACCCTAAACCCTAAGCCCTAAACCCTAAACCCTAAACCCTAAAACTCCTGACCTGAGCCTCATGAGCCCCATACTTCAGATGCTGCTACAACACCCTGTGTAGTCACCTATGCACGACATATAACTGGAGAGTTTTAGACCGGATCATGTAGGTTTAGGGGTTTAAGGTTTAGGGTTTAGGGTCCTGACTTTGAGAGGTGGTAGGTTCCTTAATTAATCAAGTCTTCTATTAGACATGATCTCCTGGCAAGTGAGGTGTTAGCACCAGCAATGGCAGGGGGGTGTAGCCAGATGGCTGCCTTTAATATTAAACACACCCCCCCCCCCCCCTAATACTAAACCCTAATACTAAATATGGTCCCTGAATATCGAGGCTACTATAGGGAGTATCTTTATAATAGGGGCAGGGGGGTGTTTAACATTAGAGGCAGGGGATTAGTTGAACATTCGGGGGTCGAACTCCTTTCTGCTTCGGCGGGGCTCTGTTTTAGAGACCCTGACCCTAAACCCTAAACTAAACCCTAAATCCGTTAACCCCAAACCCTAAAACCCTGAGCCGACCCTGAAGAGCTTAATTAGTTGATGGTGGTGCTAGGGAGTTCTTTGTCTGACAAGTTCCTCAAAATGCGTGCGGATCCCCAGTGTTCTGCAAGTCAGAACGCACAAAGGGTCGAAGTATCTCCATGCTAGGTACTTTGGAGTATGTTGGGGCCTGAAGTAGCTACGATTTAGGTACTTAGACCTTTGGGAAAGCAGACGGGCTGTGGGACTGTGACAGACTTTTAGCTGGCGGACGCAAGCCACAGAGTGAGGCATTACTTCGGGAAAGCTTCTTGTATGTTTGCTAGGGGTGACTAGGGTGCGCAGGTCCAGCACTATGGAGGCTTCTAGGACCCGCTCGTCTGATCAGCGCTCTCCTCGCCGGCGTCTCCCTCCTCGCCGGCGTCTCCCTCCTCGCCGGTGTCTCCATCATCGTGGAGCGTGTGGGTCAAGTCGCAGCACTGGAAGCAAGAATCGCACTTTGAGCACCAGCATCCATCTTTGCAACACTGTCGGCAGAAGTAAGCAAAGTCATTCTCCTCCCCACAGCCGGCGCAGACGCGAAGGGTCTCCCGCGGAGCCTTCTTGGAGCAGTTGTGGCAGCAGAACTTGGTGCGAGGCTTCTTCGGCCGGGATACCCTCGCGGCCTCGGCAGCTCGCTTTGCTTGTAGCGAGGGAGGGAGTTGGCCTAGAATGAAGTCGGGAAGCGCTTTGAAGCGAACTGTTTCGTCCACCAGGTAGGCAGATCCGCTTGGCCCCCCAGGCCCTGTTTTCATGGCGGAGATCGCATCTCTGAATCCATCCGCAGGCAGGAGTTGAGAAAGCCAGTGCTTTAGGAGCATCAGGAAGTCACAGAGTGACTTGGCAACCACGGTCTGCTTCAGGCTGTTTACAGAAACCATGGCCACTTCACCCCCTGGGATCAAGTCCACTGTGTACTGCGGCCCTGCGTAGATATGGCCGCAGGACAGGCGCTCTTCCCACCTCTCCGGTTGCCGGTCTTGAGACTCCTGGGAGTAGTCGGCCCCGGTGAAGCAGAGTGAGAAGTAGGTCAGCCCAGCTCCGTCACCGCAATTCCGCCCGTGCACGTTGAAGCTTAACTCTGCATACATCCCCAGCAGTGACACCACCCTCCAGGCAAAGGCATGCTCCTCTTCCAGCAGCCATTCTGGCACGCAGCTCCTGGCAGTGTGCGGGTTTAGGGTTTAGGGTTTAGGGTTTAGGGTTTAGGGTTGAGGGTTTAGGGTTTAGGCGTACATGCAAGCAACACCCTGGGAACCTTCAAGCCCATGCAACTCGTTCCACTAGTGCCACAGGCCAGAACCCTGAAGCTTCTGCCGGAAAGCTTCATTCACATCATTACCATAATTCACATTTATTCCATTATTTCAGGGATGTCCGGCCAATGCGCCTTTCTAGGCATAAATTACTTATCTTTCCAGACCCCGAGATGTTGTTGGGGCACCATTGAAAACAATCATTTTTGTTCCTTATTGGGTGTAAGTACTCTTGAACATGTAAATGATTTTCAATTATGACCCAGTTGCACCCTCAGAACCAAGATTAAGACGTCCATGCTTTAGGTCCTTGACACCGCACCCCCAGACTTGAAACGCTGACCCGAAGACCCCGAACCCAAACCCTGCAACCCAAAACTGCAGACCTTTAAGGCTACGAATCCCGAGGCATTATCCCCAGCTCAGTGTGACTGTCGCTCTGCTGCCTCTATTTTTAGGGTTTAGGGTTTTGGGTTTAGGACTTATAGGGTTTAGGGTTAGGGTTCCGGTTCGGCACATACCTCCCTTTCAAGGTGCTTCACACTCTACTACACAATCCACCCTAAACCCTAAACCCTAAACCCGAAACCCGAAACCCTAAACCCTAAACCCCTGAGAGCGCGCCCTCCCGCATCCTCAGCCGCTCAAAGTCATCCTCGGGTGTGACCCAGCCTGGGCAGATCAGCAACACCATGAGTTTAGGGTTTAGGGCTTAGGGTTTAGGAGGTTCATGGTACATATTTACAATGATAACTGTACTTATAGCCCACTTATCAGCCCCTTAAGTGTCCGAACATGGTTATAAGTACAGTTATACTTGGTTAATAATTAACAAGAACCTCCAAGAAGGATTTGCGGCCCCAAGGGCGAACCATACATCTACACTTCGCGATGTTCCCGAAGACGCCTATGCGCACTTAGAGAACCCAATTCACAAGTCTATAACCCTAAACCCTAAACCCTAAAGTTCATGTCAGTGTCAGTGCGGTCTAGTTTGGCTTTGGGTTGGGCTTTGAAGAACTCTGCAGGGCCTAGAAAGCCATCACCACTTAGGCTTGGAAGTCTCCAGCTAAACTAAACCTTCCAAAGCCATAAGGCCTCAGCGGAACACAACTCCACGTCACTACTTGTGAGCAAGCAGGAGCGTCAAAACCCCGTCTGGATTTGGGGAGGCGAGCGGAAGGCCCAGCCGAGACGAAACGAAGATGTATATACTACAGCGCCCGGTGTACGCGAGCATGGAACAGGGCGTCAGGAGTCAGGAGATGGGTGTCTGGGTGGGGGGCTCAACTGACCCAAGCGCAGGCCAGAATGCAGGAGAACCGGAGAAACCCTCAACGAAGGCAGGAGGCCAGATGAGCGAGAGGGCTGGGGATGTGTGACACTTAGGCTCTTACTCATCACTATAGGGCACCCATCATGCTGAGCTTCAGGACAGGAGCTTGCCCCAAACCGTGGCCGTTTGGAAGCAGACAGTTTCTATGGGCAGCCAGGCTTTCAGCCCCTTCGGGTCTTAAGCTCTCTTAAAACCCTTTTCGGGATCTAAGCTTTGTTCATCACCCTAAACCTTAAACCCTAAAGTGCCGAAACCCTAAACCCTAAACCCTAAACCGTTTCTTGCTGCTCCCTTGGGACAATAGCGGGCCCTGCTCAGGCTCCTAAATATGAAGAAAATGCCTCTGGAACCTGCATCCGAACCTCATCCTCCTCACGCCGTCCGAGGTTTAGGGTTTAGGGTTTAGGGTTTAGGGTTTAGGGTTTAGGGTTTAGGGGTTAGGGTTTAGGGTTTAGGGTTTAAGGATTAGGGTTTAGGCTCCTGTACCCCACCCACCAGCCTGGATTCTGAAAGCCCTGGGCGTGGCAAAGGTCTTGCAGAAAAGACCAGGCCTCTTCCTCCTTGGTGTCTGCTTTCGTCTTGACAAGCTCTCGTCCCTAACTTCAAGAACCTTTAGGGTTTAGGGTTTAGGGTTTAGGGTTTAGGGTTGAGGGTTTAGGGTTTAGGGCTTCGGGTTTAGGTCTTAGGGTTTAGAGCCTTCTGCTGCTTGTTTCAGAACAAGAAGAGAAACACACACCCTAAATCCGGATCAGCAGATTCCCTAAACCCCACCACTTCACAGCCCTAAACCATCTCTAGGAGCCCTATCGTAGGTATCTTCAGTGTTTTTTTGCGGGCCTAAACCCTAAACCCTAAACCCGAAACCCGAAACCCTAAACCCTAAACCCTAAAACCCTAGACTCTGCACATACACTGGGTGCTGTTTATGGGGTTTTGGGCCTCTAGGAAAGCTTCAGCCTGTGAGGTTTCGGAGCTCCGGTGGCGATGACTTGATTTCTGTCTGGGGTTTGGGGTCTGGGGTTTGGGGTTTAGGGTTTACGGTTCAGGGTTCAGGGTGTAGGTCTGAGGGGTTTAGGGCTGCTAGGAGGGTTGGGTTATTAGTGATGCTAGTTTCACCGAGGCAGTTTTGGCAACTTCCTCATAACTACAACAGGGGGATCAGAGGTCCTAAAAATGCTGGCTCCTTTTGGTTGGAGGAGCTCTTCGTTGATAGGAGGCGCCATCAACTAGGTGTGGCTCGAAGATACAGTTTAGGGAAAGTTACCCTATACCCCAAACCCTAAACCCTTTTCCTTATATGGGTTGGTAGTCTCTTTTTTGCAGGGTTTCTGTATTATAAGGGCTTATTAGGGTTTCTAGGGGCTTCATATTTTCGCAGGAAACCCTAAACCCTAAACCCTAAACCCTAAACCCTAAACCCTAAACCCTAAACCCTAAACGAGTTCCGGCTGAACGTGCCAATTTCGACGGCGGCTCGGACGCAGGTGCTGGATCGTCAGTGCTTGGAAGCGCTGAAGCCATGCGGGTTTAGGGTTTAGGGTTTAGGGTTTAGGGTTTAGGGGGTTTGGGGCTTTAAAAAATCCCAGGGTTTCAGGGCAATCTAAGAGGTTGAAGATTGAGGGATTTGAGCTGATAGGAGCTGATTTGCATGCGGTACTCAGAACTGAACTACCAGGGCACATGAGTTCAAGTTTGAGCCCAACGAATCAGCATGCTGGAGTGACTTATTTAGGGTCAGAAGGTTGAACACTACGAGCACTAGGAGGGGCTTCGGGTTTGGGGTTTAATTAGGGTTTAGGGTTTAGGGGTTAGGGTTTGGTTTAGGGCGGTTCAGGGTATCCCTACCTCCCTAATCCCCAAACCCTAAACCCGCAGTCTCTGAACCAGGATTTCGGGTGTAGGTTTTAGGGTTTAGGTTTTAGGTTTTAGGGTTTAGGATTTAGGGTCAGGGTTTAGGGTTTCGGGTTTCGGGCTACGGTGTTCGGAGTTTTCAAGGCACAGGCACAGGGGGTTCGCGAAAGCTATGTGAAGGGAGGCCGGTGGGTAGATAAGAACCGGCCAGTGCAGAGCCTAGACGGTACCCTTTTTGGTGTTGAGCGGATTCTAAGGGAACCCCAGCCCTAAACAAAGGCGATTCGGGCCTACTCCGGGTCCTCGTCCCTCATTTCGAAATTCATGGCTGCCTGGTGTGGTGACTTGGTGCGGGCTGAACCAAACATGAAAGCGATGGGGCGCCCAAAATGCAGAAATATGACCCCTAAACCCTAAACCCTAAACCCCAAACCCCAAACCCTAAACCCTTCTGCCTGTGTGACCCTCACACTTCAAGGCTTGGCATGCGGCAGGGACCAATTCTGGCTCAGATTCCACAACTTAAATCATGGCTTCGGGGGTATCGGTATCCAGGGGTTAAGGGGTTTACATGGTTCATAGTTGGGATAGTAAAAAAATTAAAAATTTTATTCCTTATTGATTTTAAGTACCCTTAAAAAGTAAAATGTTGCCCCACTATGACAAGCAGGAAAAGTATTACATGGGGTTGAGGGTTTATCACTGCACGGGTTCCCAGCTGTGCAGCCTTCACACGCCGCGCGCTCGCTTTCTGTTCGCCTGCCTCGGATTCCCTTCAGGCTTCTAGGGCTGCCCAAGCACCCCTGGGGTCTCAAAGGCCAGACTGCCCGCAAGCCCCTAAACCCTAAACCCTAAACCCTAAACCCTAAACCCTAAACCCTAAACCCTAAACCCTAAACCCTAAACCCGTCCACCCAAACCTGATCGAAGTGGCAATGACGAGGACTCAAGGCAAACGCTTCCGAACCCTTTCACGGACAGACAATGTCCGGTTTAGGGTTTAGGGGTCAGGGTCCCGGGTTTATGGAATTGGGTTCGACAGGGCACGTTGTCCCAGTCGAACCGTCCACAGGCACGCACCTTCAGGGTGGGGCCCCCTTACTATACTAACTGTAGTTAAGGGACTTATAACCTAACTTAGGGTCCTTATAACCCAATTTAGGGCCCTTATAACTCTACTTATAACTAGGGGGCCCCACCCTGTTTAGCGCCAGGGCAAAAGAACTTTCGTGAAACACATCGACCCTCAGTTCCTTGGATGCCTGTCAACGCAAGGCATCGTCGGAATCTCCTGGGGTCCGTGGAGGCAACGCCAGTTTAGGGTATAGGGTTTAGGGTTTAGAGGTTTAGAGGTTTAGGGTTTAGGGGCTTAGGGGCTTAGGGGCTTAGGTGTTTAGGGTTTAGGGTTTAGGGGAACGAAAGCGCGAAAGCTTGCCCCGACTCGCCTCACCAGACATGAATCCTGGCATCAGGGGCTTCGGTGTGCGGGGCTTCGGCTTTCAGGAGCCGGGCAGATGGTGAACCCCCCTAAACCCTAAACCCTAAACCCTAAACCCTAAACCCTAAACCCTAAACCCTAAACCCTAAACCCTAAACCCTAAACCCTAAAGCCCCTTCCTTGCTTCTTTGCAGGGCAGGTCGAAGCCAA